GTCTGTAACCACGCGTGCAGGGAATTTCTGGGAATAGATGAAGACACTCCTGGACAGCGTCTTATTTTTCCCGCCCAAACGTCACAACAGCTGTGCATGTGTGCGCGCCTGTATGCCTCTGTGTACGTCTGCTTTTGTGTGTCGTGGCTGTATTTGTGTGTTTGTGTATTTGTGTGTTTTCTGTGTGTGTGTTTGTGTGTTTGTGTATTTGTGTGTTGTCTGTGTGTGTGTGTTTTCTGTGTGTGTGTGTGCGCATGTACGTGTGTGTGTGTATGTGTGTGTGAGTGTGAGTGTGTGTGCGCGTGTATGAGGGTGTGTCGATGCGCGCTCCGAAACAAGCTTGCTACGGAGGGGGGAGAAAGAGAGAGATTGGACCTCGAGAGTGGTGCGCGTCTGTCCAAACTCTCCATTCATCACTCTCAGAAACCAATGGAGAGCTGTCACACAGCCTAGCTCCACTACTCTCCACATGCACAAAGGACAAGAAATACGGCGGTGTACCTTTCCATGTTCTAGGGGAAGATTCGTTCTCATCTTGCACATTCGGAGATGCCAATAGATCCTTTTTTTTTTTCTTTTTTTTTTTAACCAATTCAATTACCTGTCAAATCTAGAGATCGACCACTGGATCCCCCGATTGCCATTTAGCAGAGTCTGCTGATATTCATAGGGGAGGGGACCTGAGGGGAGGCACAGGGATTGGTCCTGTTGGCATGGTCCCTGATGCTACCGGCTGTCCCCTAGCCGGTATCGCCCACCTGCAGGTCGGGAGCAGCCCCCACATGTTCTCTCGTGAACAGTTCTGGCTGCTACGGGGTTCCCCGTATGCCTACAATTAGGAGTAGTGGTAGGTAGGTAGTGTGAGGTGAAATTGAGAGAAGAACATAGCTTTTAAAAAAAAAAAAAAAAAAAAATCTGGACAGGATTGCATCCGGCGGCCTATCTCAGTTGGTAAGGCACGCAAGTGGCATTCAGGAGGTCTTGGGTTCAATCCCCATTGGCCTCATGCACCTTCCTGGGCAAGCTTGGCGCCCGCCACCTAGAGATATGCCGTTGGTCCCTCCGAGTGGCATTAAGCAGAGACTGCTGATGTTCATAGGGGGAGGGGACCAGAGGGGAGGCACAGTGACTGGCCCATAGAAGAAGCTCGGTCCTGATGCTACCGGCTGACCCCTGGCTGGTATCGCCCACCTGCTGTAGCAGATATCGCACCTGCACCCCCGCATGTTCCCTCGTTGTGGCTGCTACGCCCGTAATACTATAATGACAATAAAAAAAGGCCTGAAAGGCCGTCCTGTCCAGATTTGACAGGTAATTGAATTGGTTGGG